CCCACTTTATGAAATAAGCCTTGCCGAGGCCTCTTTAATCTTGTTGCCTTCCCTGTGAGATTACTCCTGTTTTATCCTGTATATATCTTTGTGCATCATTGTTTGCATGCATTTATGTCCTCTTCTTGTCCCATTAAACTGTTAGCTCCTTGAGAGTAGAGACTGTTTTTTGCCTTTGTATCTAAACTTGATAAATACTAGTTGACTAGAGTTGACTAGCTATACTAGATAAATACTAGTTGACTAGAGGATGAATTAGAATGGGGGAAAACTTGAGGCAGAGAGACCAAATAGGAAGCTATTGCATTAGTCTAGGCAAGTGAGGTGATCAGCATCTGAACTAAAGTGTTGGCTCTTTGAGTAGAGAGACAAAGATCATAAAAGGTGTGGCTGTAGAAATGACAAAATTTGACAACTGACTGGCTATGTGGGGTGATTGAGAGTGTGAAGTTGAGGATGATACCAACAGTACTAACCTGAGTGACTAGAAGGATGTAGTATCATCACCAGTAAGAGGGAAATTCATAAGAATGGTAAGTTTTTGGAGGAAAGAAATGAGTTCTGTTTTGTATATGTTGAGTTTGATACTCTTATGAGGCTTCCATTTCCAACCATGTAATTGGCAGTTTTGGGGGCACTAGCTCAGAACAGAAACTAGGGCTATGTATATAGATCTGTGACTCATTTACATAAAGATAATCATTTAACCTATGGGAGCTTTTGAGGTTACCAAGTTAAGAGAAAGAAAGAAAAAACAAAACTGAGATCAAAGCCTTTAGGGTTATATCTATATTTCTAGGCATGACATGAATGATTGTTCACCTAAGGAGACTGAGAAGATGTAGACATACAGGTAGGATGAGAACAGAGAGGAAATAGTACAGAAAAACTTTGAAAGGAAAAAATTATTCAAGAAGAGAGAGGATAGTTGTATTTGTCAAATGCTGCAGAAAGGTTAAGAAAGATGATTGAGAAAAGACTTTATATTTGACAAATAAGCCATCACTGGTATTTTAATTTTTTAAATGTCTTTTGTTTTTATATCACTCATTTCCCATTATATTTCTCTTCTGCTCCCTACCAGAAAAGCCATTCTTTTGACAAAAAAAAAAAAAAAACGAAAGAGAAAAGAGAAATCAATTAGTAAATTAATAAGCATTTTTGTGTCTAAAGTACAACTGCAATCACTGTCCTGTGTATTGGAAATAAAAAGACAAAAAAATTAAACAGCCCCTTCTATGTTCTAGCTAATATTCTGTTGAGCAAGACAATATATACGTATATAATATACAGAATAAATAGAACATTAACACAAAGTAATTAGGAAAGGAGGACACTACTGGCTAAGGGGTTCAGAAAAGGCTTTGTGTAAGATGAATTTTGAGCTGAGACTTGAAAGAAATGACGGATTTTATGAGGTAGATGTGAAGCACATTCTAAGCCATGGGGGACTACCAGTACAAAGTCATAGAGACAAGAAATGAAATGTTATTTGTGCAGAACAAAGATAATGCCAACTTAGCTAGATTGTGAAAGTAAAGGAATATGGGGTGGGAGGATGGGAATGAACGATTGAGCCCATTGAGGCTAATGCTGTGTTAGGCTGTGTGCCAAGCTCCAGGGCTTCAAATGCAAATAAGCAAGATAATATGAGGGAGGAGAACACCTAAGGGGGAAGGGAGCAGGGGGTGGTAGAAAAAGGCAGAAGAGAAAATATGATGTGAGGATGTCCAAGAAGACTAGTGATATAAAAATAAAGCTGGAAAGATACTCTGGAGCCAGGATGTGAAAGGCTTAAGAAACAAATAATGGAGTTTTTAATAGTATTCTAGAAGGCAATAGGGTGCCACTATAGTTTATCGGGTAGAGTGACATGGTGAAAATTGTGCTTGTGGAAGATCAGTTGGAGTGATGTGGTAAGTCCTGAGTCACATCGGTCAGTTTGGAGGCCATTGCAGTAGTCAGTGTACAAGGGGATGAGTGCCTAAATTTGCTACCAAGCTCTGTTGTGTCATTTTTGCATTCAGTTTTGATTGGTTGCTGTTGTTATTAATGGATTTCCATTTCCATTGTCATGGTCATTGTCTTTTTAAAAAAAATAGTCACTTGTGATTTTGGAGAGGGTAGTTTCAGATGAGTGAGGTTGGAAAGAAGAGATTGCAAAGGGTTTAGAAAAGAGCTCAAGAAGAGGACTTAAATGCAGGGAGCATAGATACTTTTTTCAGAGTTTATTTGAAAAGTGAATGAATGAAAAAAGCATTTATTATTAAGTGTAAACTATGTGCAAAGCATTGTGCTAAAGCCTGAGGATACAAATAGAAAAGCAAGATAGTCCCAGTGTTCAAAGACGTTTCAGTTTCAAGTCAGATGGAGAGACCCAATAGTTTTTAGAGTGCAGTCTTTAGTGTCATTTTCTCTGACAAAATCATATCCCTTTCTAACCTTGATTCATTTGACAGTGCCACAGACTTTGGTGATTAGAACTTTTTTTTCCTGAGTCTTCTGCCGTTCTTGCTCCTGGGGTGACTGGGGTCTTTTCAAAGGTGCCTGCTGCATTACATCTCCACCAGGGTTGTTTCCCTGTACCGTGGCTCTGAAGGCCAACTAGAACTACGGCCAGTGGAATGGCGTTCAGGATGGGGCGGGGGAGTCATTCAGCTGGCTAGTAAGTGTCTGAAGCCAGATTTGGACTGAGATCTTCCTGACTCGCAGTCCTGGCTCTCTATTCATTACACCACCTATCTACCCTCTAATGCAGTCATAAAGAGTATTAAGAAAGGGATAATCTCCATGATGAGACATTTGGAAGTCTAGCTGTACTATACCCTAATCAAACTACTAGTCATTCTTGGATACCTCATTTTAGAAGAGACAGACATGGAGCATTCCATAGCTGGCAAACCAGAGTGGTGAGGGGTCCTTAAAATCATGCAATCACTTATAGGAAATTCAAGTGTTCATTTGGAGAATTGAAGACTTAGTGGCGCATGGTTGTTGGACTAAAGTATTTGAAGGACTTTAATGTGGAACAGATTGAACTCTTTTTGCTTGGGTCTGGAGAGCAGAACTCTCCAAAACTCTCAACAACAGGCCAGTATTACAGAGTTGGAGTTAGATTTAGTTAAATTGGTTGGAATAAGGTGTTAATAAATTGATTTCTGATTCCTGCCCTTCATATGCCATTTTATTGAGGGAGCATGATATAATTCAATGGAATTAGTGCTGGATTTATCTTCCAAAAAGACTTTAGTCAACCAAACTTTGTCCCCACAGTCAGAAAGCAAATTTTCCATCCTCAAGCTTCTTTGAGTACTTTGTAGCTTGTTATAATCTTAATGAGTTCTACTGGAATAGATTAAATATAGTTAAAATACAGTGAGTTAAAATAAATTTTTTAAAATGAGTAGAGTTAAAATATATGAGTGAGAGAGAGAACACACCCCTGTTGGGCTATAAGATGTGTGATGACAAGAGACCAAGTCTTAATTATTTTTCCTCAACATTGAACACTGAACTATATACATAATAATTGTTTAATAAATAGTTGTTGAATGGACACTACGTTAAAGGTTAAAAAAATCTATTTACCCGAGTAGTGTATTAGTATATCCTAGATGTAGGTTCTCAATTCAGATCTTCTATTATCTTTCTTTGTGATCTGAGGGTAGGTCACTTGACCCCCAGACTTTCACTTTCCTTCTCTCAGAGGGATTTGCATAGATGATCTCAAGCATTCTCACTTTATTTAAAATTTTGGAGCACTTTGCCCATGTATCAGATGTAAAGGTGGTATTAAAGCATGTGGAATTTAAGTTACTGAACAGAAGGACCTTTGGCTGTTTAGAGTAATCTGTTTTGACTAAGACATGTTGTATAATCTGAGAATTTCTTAATTACTTAATGATTACTTGTATATGTGATTCATTGAATTTATAGTTTATGGTTGATATACCCAGTAAGGAATTTTGGTTGGTCTTGTCACAGAACTGGATTTATCCCATTCTAAGCAATCTCCTTACATAAGAATAAACCAAGGGTGTGGTCTTGAGGCCATAGGTCCTTAAGTGCAGCCCTTTGACTGAATCCAAACTTCACAGAACAAATTTGTACAGAATCTTGCCCCAAAAGTGTTATAAAACAACTGTAAACTGTTGGTCTAAATGTACATTGTACTAAACTTATTTTGGTATGTGGAAAATGAAATGCTAACAAATCCCTAATGGAATTTGTTCTGTGAAGTTTGAATTCAGTCCAAAGGCCACACTTGAGGACACAGAGGGCCACATGTGGCCTCCAGATCGCAGGGTGCCTACCCTTGGAATAAACATTCAACATATTATTAAAAGTATAATTTATTCACAAAGGAACAACTTAAAATTAGGAAGAATGATGAAAATGTTAAGTCTCAGCTAGATTAAGAATAAAGTTATATTAAACACTCTTTTTGTTAGTTGATATAATCTCCATTAGTTTTTATTTTTTACTATTTTTAGAGATGATTTTGTTGATAGATTTACTTGGGCTTGTCACTATCAAAAAGTGGAAAACAATTAATTATAATTCTTTCCTCTAAAAATATATTGTACTAAGAAGACTTCCACTCAAACTTAATTTGCTTCCAGGTTCTTATTTTCCCCTTCCTTTTCTGTTGTCAAATATACTAACCTAGAACAAGATTAGTAGTTGCTGACTTAATTATAGTTATTTTCACATTTTTTGATTGAACTCTATCTGCCACGTGTAGAATTATACCAGTATTTGGAAGTGGGGATTTTGTTCTCTAATGGATCAGCTCTTTGACATAGGGTTTATCTCACTTTGGTTGTCCTATGAACGTGAAACACTGCTTTATTACATTTGCTTACATCAAAATAATTTCAGGTAAATAATTTTCTCCTTCATGTAGGAAAAAAAATGCTGTAATGTCTTTAAAAGTTTGTTGTTCTGAAAAGCATTTTTTACTAAGGTTCTCATTTTTTTGTGTTTTTTTTTCTTGACAGTCTGTGGTGGATGACTGGATTGAATCATATAAACAGGACAGGGACATAGCACTTCTGGATTTAATCAACTTCTTTATCCAGTGTTCAGGATGTCGAGGTACAGAATCTTGCCAAAAAAGTGTTATAAAACAACTGTAAATTATTGGTCTAAATGTACATTTCACTAAGCTTATTTTGGTATATGGAAAATGGAATGCTAATCTATCTCCATTTTTATAGCAATTTATTTGCATGTGATGTGTAAATCATGGAGTTTTACTGTGGCATCTTTATGCTAAAGTAAATTATTGATTCAAAAAGTTATATAAGGTTATTAAAATAGATTTGTGTTCAGCTTTAGTTATGTATTATAGAAATAAGAAATGTTGAAAGAATTCTGAAGTGAAATTTATTTAAATATAATTTTTAATTGGAAAATAACCCTAAAATTTTGTTTATTATAATATTTTTATCTGTATTTTCATCTCATATATTGATCATTCTGGACTATTTTGAACATTCTATTTTGCTTGTTCAGAAACTATAATCAATAACACTAGGAATAATTGGGCTCTGCCATATTAATTGAAACTAATTAAATTTAATATGACTAGTTTCTCATCCTGATTGAAAAACGTGCTCATTTAGAGTAATTGTTATACCTTTAAAACCATTCTTTGGATCTCTAGTAGTGTATACTAGTTAGATCCTGGCTCAGACACCAAGAATCTACTATGTAATGGAAATTGTAGCTTCCATCCTCTGTTCAAGGAATTGTTTCTTACCCTCTCTGAGGGCAATACTTGTCTAGAAAACCATCTTCCTATCATTGACAAAAACACCTCTGCTGTGGGTAATGTCAGGATCTAATATTATCAATTGGCCTTTTCTCAACTTACGTTTTTCCTGCTATGTATTATAACTTCTACCAGGATTCCTTTAACATCTGTTTCCTACCTTTTTGCTCTAAGTTTATATTCCCCTTACACATTCATTTTGTATTTCTGACTGTGATCTAGAATTCATTTTCATTTAAATTGTTAATCCCATTATTATGTCATAATGTTATACATTACCTTAATATTGTTTTTGTTAGATGTAATAAAATGTCAGTAACAAGGAGAACAAATAGAACCCTTAATCATTAAACTTTACCTTGCTCCCTTTTACCTAGTTTCTTAAGCACAAAAAAAAACCCCCTAACACTTGTCTGTCCACATATATTTAAAATGCTATACTTAATGCAGTACTCTCCTAATCTTTTTGTCTTTTTGTCGTGCCTCCCTAATGTATGGAGATGACTTGGGTTTTATAGGCCATGCTAGTAGAATACAAATTCTAGAAGGTCTTTTTTTTTTTTTTTTTTTTTTTTTGCTTTTTGGTGAGGCAATCAAGGTTAAGTGACTTGCCCAGGGTCACACAGCTATTAAGTGTCAAGTGTCAGAGGCTGAATTTGAACTCAGGTCCTCCTAAGTCCAAGGCCAGAGCTCTACCTACTGCATCACCTTGCTACCCCTACAAGGTCCCCACCATGGTTTTATTAAACCATGTTTTATCAGAGGACAAGCCTAGTTAATTTTTTTAAAAAGTTCATCACCAGCTTATCTACTTTTTTACTTAAGGATCTGTCATCTCATAGATTTGGGTATTCTTTCTGATTGGTACAAACTGTGGCCTATCTACATCTTTTTATCTTGTGTAACTCATCCTTATCCTCTTAGGAATCTTTCACAAGGAGCCTGCCCAACATAATAGGGATCTTTCCATAAGTCTCTTGACATTGTATGAATATCAGTGAAACATTTAAGCTTTCCATCTGTTACACGTCACTCAACCTATACGACTGGCTCACCTTTTTTCCCCCCTTTTTCTTCTCCTGTGTAATACTTCATTGCTAATAAGAACCACAGAATTTCAGAGTGGTAGGTAACCTTAGTAGCTATCTTGTCCAATCTGTACTTGAAAAAGAGCTCCCCGCACAGTATACCCAGTAAGTGCTCATTCAGCCTCTGCTTAAAAACCTGAATTGAGGGAGAACCCACCACCCTCCAAGGCAGGCCATTCTAATTTTGGACAACTCTTAATTGTTGAGAAGTTTTTCTTTATATTAAGATCAAGTTTGCCTTCCTGCATTCCTGAACTTGGTTCTCTTCTCTAGGGCCAAACAGAACAAGCCTAATCTCTCTTCAACATGACAGCCTTTCAGATACTTGAAGACAGCTATTGTGTCTCATCTGAACTATTTCTTTTTTTGTCTAAATATAACCACAGTTCCTTCAAGCTTCTTTCATATGTTATAGACCTAAGGCCTTTCTCCACTTCTGCCCTTTTCTGGATGATCTGTAGTTTATTAATGTCCTTTCTAAAGGATAATAACCAGAACTGAAAACAGCTCTCCAGATATGACCTCATTAGGGAAGAATATAGTGGAACTAAAACCTCCTTATTCCTAGAAGCTTTGCTCAGCTAGTAATGGAACATACCAATACCAGATTGCATCTCTTGACTACATTTTGGGTGACACTGGCCTCTAATTTTTCAGAGACTGTTGAGTCTTCAGACAAATACTCATGACATGAATTGTACCATATAATGACACTGGTAAAATACTCACGTTAAAAAGATGTGTTTTTGTTTCATGGAGAAGCTTGGAATCATTAAAAATTATACAATTTTAGCAATACAGTTGAGTCCACAAACACCCCCATTCAAATCTGAGCCCAACGCATTTGTCAGTCTGCAATGTCTGTCCCAGATATATCTTCTTATGAAACAGCTCCATGGCTTGTCTATCCAACTACACGTGTGTGTGTGTGTGTGTGTGTGTGTGTGTGTGTGTGTGTGTGTGTG